CGTCTGCCTTCGGCTCAGGTCATGATCCCAGGGTCCTGGGATCGAGTCCCACATCGGGCTCCCTGCTCAGCGGGAAGCCTGCTTCTCCCTCTCCCAATCCCCCTGCTGTGTTCCTGCTCTCGCTGTCTCTCTCTCTGTCAAATAAATAAATAAAATCTTTAAAAAAAAGAAAACTAGGGGCATATGATAACTTAGTTATGGGCTTCCATGAATCAATTTTGGAGCAATGTACTATTTTTTTTTTCTGAGAACATTCTTAGTTCTTACATTTTCCAGAAATGAGTGAGTCCGAAGGACAATCTCAGATCACTGGAGTTGAGACAGAGTGGGTCTTTCAGGAGCCTTAGCAGGGGTGTAGAGAAGAAGGGATGGTGTTCCTGGCAGCACAGAACAGGGTGTTGGTGTTCTGTCATGTGCTGAAGAGGAATCAGCTCTGAGCATAGATACTGTGGTGAGAGAAAATCCAGATCAGTTTCACCTTTCTTGACTCCCTGAGAAAGGGTTAATTATTCCACTCTTGGTCCTGCTCGGACACAGTGCTTATCTACCTTCTATTGCCTATATTCAAAAGATACTACTGAAATTTGTCACACTTTGGGTCTCTATCCCTCCATAACTGAGCTCCTTGAACTCAGAAGTGTGTCTAATTTGCCGTAGTGTCCCCATCACCCTAGCACAGGGCCAGCTGTATCACTGGCACCTCATGAGCACCTCGGGAGTGAGTGTGATGGCATAGAGACTCTTCAGATGATGCAGCAGGTGGTTCTGAAAGTGTGGCTCTTGTCTTGCCTGGGCATGAGTATCTACATGCACTTCTTGCTGCATGTGCTGGATAAGGATAGTAAAGAGGTGCTGGTTTTAATTATCCATGTCTTTGTTTCTCTCATAGCATCTTTGGGGCCTACAGCATGGATGTGATTACCAGCACATCATTTGGAGTGAACACTGATTCCCTCAACAACCCACAGGATCCCTTTGTGGAAAATGCCAAGAAGCTCTTCAGATTTGAGTTCTTTGATCCACTTTTGTTCTTAATAGGTATGTACACTATTGTTTTTTCTTTTCTCTTTCTCTTCCCTTCCTTTTTTTCCTTCCTTCCTCCCTCCCTTCCTTCACTTTTTCCTTTCTTTCTACAACAGCTTTATTGTGCTATAATTCACTTACTATATATGTTACCCATTTAGAATGTAAAATTCAATGGTTTTTATGGCCTCAGTGTCTATCAACAAATGAATGTAGAAAATGTGTATACACACAGATACACACACACACACACACATACATATATATATTCATACACACACACTGAAATCTAGTCAGCCATAAAAGGAAGGGGATCCTGTATTTGTGACAACATGGATGGAACTTGAGGGCATTATGCTAAGAGAAATAAGTTAGAGGAAGACAAATACTGTATGATCTTACTTCCATATGGAATCAATCCCCCCCAAAACCAACTTTATACAAAAACAAGAGCAGATTTGTGGTTACTAGAGACAGGAGTTGGGGGGTGGGAATTGAATGAAGGTGATGAAAAGGTACAAAGTTTCAGTTATAAAATAAACAAGTACTGGCTTGTAATATATAACAGGATGACTATAGTTAACACTGCTGTATGATGTGTTTGAAAGTTGCTAAGAGAGTAGATCCCAGAAGTTCTCATCACAAGGATTAAAAAATTTTGTTTTTGTAAATACATGAGATGATGGACATCTTACTGTGGTAATTATCTCTTGATATATGTATGTCAAAGCATTATTCAGTACACCTTAACTTGTACAATACTGTATGTTTGTAAACTCAAACTGAAAAAAAAAATGGTTTTGGTGCATTCAGAAATACTTGCAACCATTACTATAGTCAATTGTTAGACCATTGTTGTCAACTCAGAAATCTGTACTTTTTTGCTATCACTGCCCACTTTCCTTAGTCCTAAGCGACCAGTAATCTACTTTCTGTCTTAATAGATTTGCCTCTTCTGGACTCTTCATACAGATGGAACCATAGAACATCTGATCTTTGTGGCTGCCTTCCTTCATTTAGCATAATGTTTTCAAGATTCATCCTTGTTGTAGCATGCATCAGTATTTTCTTTTTATGGCCAAAAATATTCCATTATATGGACATACTGCATTTTATTTATCTTTTCATCATTTGATGGACATTTGGGTTGTTTCCCACTTTTGGCTATTGTGAATATTGCTGCTATTAACATTCATGTACAAGTTTTTGTTTGAATACCTGTTTTCAAGTCTCTTGGGTATGTACTCGGGGTTGGAATTGCTAAGGTATGTAGTAATTCTGTGTTTAAGTTAATAAGGAACTGCCAAACTGTTTTCCATAATAGCTACACCATTTTACTTTCCCAGTAGTAAAGTATGAAGGTTCCGATTTCTCCCCATCCCTTCCAACACTTGGTCAACCCTTTTCTGTCTTCTTTTTTTTTTTAAAGATTTTATTTATTTATTTGCGAGAGAGAATGAGAGACAGAGAGCACGAGAGGGAGGAGGGTCAGAGGGAGAAGCAGACTC